GACAGAGAGAATGAGAGAGAGAGAGAGCACATGAGAAGGGGGAGGGTCAGAGGGAGAAGCAGGCTCCCCGCCGAGCAGGGAGCCCGATGCGGGACTCGACCCCGGGACTCCAGGATCATGACCTGAGCCGAAGGCAGTCGCTTAACCAACTGAGCCACCCAGGCACCCAAATTCTAAGGAATTTCTAAGCAATTTTTATTGTACTAAAATTTAACTGAATTCAGTTATTACTTAAAATAAGTCCATTGACTGAGAATTGTAGACTTGTTAGGCATAGTTTTTTTTATATATATGGCAGTATTTTCTGCAATAGATTTTAACTTGAACATTTAGAGTTTTGAGAACTAAATGTTGACTGAAACAGTTTTTCTTTTAAAAGTCACAGTATTTGGGACACCTGGGTGGCTCAGGCAGGTCATGATCTGCCTTCAGCCAGGTCATGATCCCTGGGGTCCTGGGATGGAGTCCTGCATTGGGCTCCCTGCTCAGCGGGGAGCCTGCTTCTCCCTCTGCCTCCCATTCCCCCTGCTTATGCTCTTTCTCTCTGTCAAATAAATAAAAGCTTAAAAAAAGTAACAGTATTCCTGAGAACTGTTCCCTTTCTACTTCTTTAATCAAAAGTTGTTGGTCTATCTTTACAACTAAGATACATTTTTTCAGGGAGAGTAATTTGTCCAGATATTCTGTGGCGCATAAAATATTGCTTCAGAGTCTCGTGTAGAGACATTAATGGATAGTTATAGGGCCTCTGGACCGGAGGGCTCACAAGGTATAAATTTCAGAAGCATCTCTAGTGTTCTCTTACTGTGACTCAACCCAGTTCAATTTCAACATTGCACGATGTCTTCATAGGGTGATGGCATATTTAAAAATTTTTAATTTAAATGTTCACTTTGATTATGTGGATGTTAGAACCAACCCTTAAGTGAACAATTGAGCTTTCTTCTTGTAGTGGATATGGACATAAAGTCTTTTGAGTACGGGACCATTTTTCACTCAACTGTGCTGATTGTCATTTTTTGGTAAAGAGACAGGGAATGCATATTTACTGGGTGCAGTTGTATATTGTCTTCATCTTGAAACATTTGGTTAGACCGTCATTTTCATTTTATCTCTGTCATGCCTACAGTTTAAATAACTGATTTATCTGTATGCAAAAGCTTTGAGAATCATAGATTCCCACGGAAAGACTCCTAGTAGGATTGGTGTTTGCGTGCTTGAGTTTGAGGCTGGCTCTGACCTTGTTTATTCTCTGTACTTGGGAAAAGTTAGTTAGGAACATCCCCCTCAGAGTACTGTTATTATGATCACAAGACACAGAGTAGGTTAAAGTTATACTTGTAAAGTATAAGGTGAATATGAATTTTAATTCATTTGTCTTGTATACCATGCCTTTTGGTCTTCTCCGTAACTGTGGGCACTCATGAGGGCTGTCTCCATCCATTCACCTCCTGTAACAACAACAACAACAAAAACTGCACTCTGCGGGCCTTACGAACAGCAGAAATTTATTTCTCACGGTTCTGGAGGCTGGAAGTTCAAGATAAGGCACCAGCAGATTCCACTTCCTGGCTCAGAGTTGGTTCCTTCTGTCAGAATTTCACGTGGTGGGAGGGTTGAGGAAGCTCTCCGGGGTCTCATTTATGAGGGCACTGATCCCATCAAGAGGGCTCCACCCTCCTGGTCTCATCTAAACCTAATTACCTCCCAAGGGTTCCACCTCCTGATGGAGTCACATTGAGCATTAGCATTCAGTATGAATTTGGGGGAACACAAATCATTTAGTACACAGCAAGGGGCTAATTTAGAAATGGGTATAACATTGAAAAATGACGGCTACACTTTTTAATGATGGAAAGGACACAGTAACAGTTCCTGGCCCAAACATATGCATTACCTCGTGAGTGTGCATGTAGAAAATAAGGAAAATGGCATTTTATTTGAGCAAAAAGTCTAGTGGTAGAAGCTGATGAATGGGTGAGTTGCTGCTTGTTAAGCAGGGCCGTGGTTAGGACACTATACAGCTGAAAGCTGGACTTTGCAGCTTTGTCTGGATCCCTTTGTGTTGCCTGAATTCTTCCACTTTGATTTTGCTCTTGGTCTTACGATCCTTAACGGGCGAGGGAAGGATATTGACTGAGATGCAGGTTAGTGATCAGAATAGCAGGTGTTGCTACCGTTCCCCCTTCTGTTGGCAACCATGCCAACGCACGTTCCCAGTTTCAGTCTGGAATTTGTGGGAAGGAACAATAAATAGTTGGTGAGCTGTGTAATAATTTAATATACACTTACAACAAAACAAGAGCTGCTACTTATTAATTGCCTGGTATGTGCCCGGTATGGTTACGTTTTATTGATGTGTGTATCTTCTTTAATCCTTCTAGCAGCCCATAAGCAAAAATGGTGATAGCACTGTTGCACTGATGGGGAAAGAGTATACGATAAATCAGTAAATCGGGTAAATTACTCAAAGTTATAGCCAGTGATGGCAGAGCCCACTGTGGAGCCTAGTTCCCTCTCATGCCATGACTCTGCTTTTCCCTCTACATCATTATAGCCTCGTTGCCTTCTGTGATAACTCTGTTCCTTGAGGCTTGAGCAAGAAATTGTTGCATGATACCTCTGCAGGACAAAGCAACGTGCAAACCACTCGAGTGTGGAACCTTTCTCGGAGGCTAAGTATTGGATGGGTTCTAGGCCGTGCTCACCAGCCTGCTGGCTCTCCACGTGTTCCACAGAATGGGTGCACGCGAATCTGGGTCATGCTTCTCCTGTGTTGCTGACTCCGTGGAGCCTGGGATGCCCCAGGAAAGCTCAGGGCCTCTCCTGGGTGTGGACGTCACCTGGTTAAGCCTTTGGAGATCTGTACTTTGGGGGAAGTGCCAGGAATTTACCTGTTTCTCTAGTCTCAGTTCTAAGCACTTGGAGATTGTTGGCTTCCAACGACTGAAATTTCTTTCTTCAAAAGGTCTCAGATACATCCCTTCCTTGCTCGCAGCATGGTCCCCGCAGTTTGGGGCCCCATCCCTTTTGTCCTTGGAGAGCTGTAGCAGCTTCTTACCTGGGTTTCTCTGCCATTAGCCTCTTTTGTTTCCATTCAAGCCTCTGTGCTATTTTCAGATCCGTTTTATGCAGAGATTTCCTGTTGATTAAATGTGCCTGCTTTCTGGGGCTGTCGCTTGGCATTGTTCCCCAGAGTCCTGTGCTCAGACTGGGCTGGAGTAGGCCGATGACTGCGCTGCCTTCGTCCACTTCCTCCCTCCCTGGGCCGCTCTCCTCCATTGTGTCTCTCAGTCGGATAGTCCCTTCTTCCTCTTCTCCACCTGCAAAATCCTTCTGTGTAATTCAGAGCCTGCTGCTATTTTTCCACCTGGAAATTGTCCTCTGGCTTCTGTCCCTCACTGATCTCTTCCTTCTTGGAACCCCTCCCCCCACCCCCGAATTCTGTGCTTTATGATATCTTCTTTTTACTCACAGAAGTTTCTGAGTAGATTATCCTAAAACTTCAGGGCCCCCTATTCTTAAATCCCTCTGATGCCCAGCACAATCGGTAGGCATAAAGTCACCCGTTGTGGACGGATTCCTTGTCGCCCCGTGTTAGCTCTTCACCGTGGTGCTTTAAAATGAAGAAAAGTAACGAAATAACACATATGTACAGAAAAGTGCTGTGATTTTAAACTTAACCTGATACTCCCCTGCTGTGCTGAAGTGTTTTGTTTTGTTTTCTTCTTCTTTTTTTGTCTTGCCAGCAATCAAAGAGAAGTACACAGACTGGACAGAATTCCTCATTCGTGATTTGACTGGTTCCCGGACGGCACCTGCCAACCTCCTGGAAGGTGTATGTATTGTTGTTATTCAGCTATTCTGTGTCTGAAGCCTCACGGTCACATGAGCACCTTTGCCTATATCCTTCGGCAGGTACACGTGTATTACATGTGGATATCTCTATCCAGATAGCCTAACTTCCTGTTTTTTTCCTGAATTGTTTAGGTTAATGATTCTCATGGCACCGAAGTGTCTTCACCTGTGGTACAATCAATAAGTGGAAAATTGGCTTCTGTGTGAACACATTTTTAAGTAATACTGTGTTAGGATATCTTTCCACTATCCTATACATGTAAGCCTCTGTCCTATATTCGCGAATATAAATAAAATCCTGGAGAAGACCTGTTTTGTAGAGATGACCACAGAGCATATTTGTGCTCTCTTATAGTCTTGGAGCGTGTTGATAAGTGGTTCCATTGACTATTCCATTCTGGATGCATAACCTCACGCTAACAGCACACACGTGTTGAGTAATAATCGAATTAGCCTCCCTTATGAAAACAAGAGGAGAACTGGCTAATCATATTTCAGTGTGGTTAAGGTGTGCTTAAGGTACCGAAGAAAAAACAGTTTAATCTGCAATCTTGATGGTTCATTTGACAATAATTTTATGATAAAGCATTTTAATATTTACTATATATAATAGAACAGAAGGAGCACTGTACTGTCATAAGTAATTATTGAGGTACCAAATCTGTTTGAGGAATGCTCCCCCCAAAAAGGGGGGAAACATAGTAAATAACAGGAATACGATGTGGATTGTGACGGTATGATTACTCTCTTAACGTTAACTATGTATTTCCCTCCTCTCATAAATGACATTGACTTTTGGAACACTACTGTCTAATATACAGTTATTCGGTTTTATTCTGTGAAGATTTTGCCTGGTGTATTTGCTTATCTTAATGGCTCCTAATTTGTTTGGTTAACAAATCAAAATGATGATTCTTCACCCTTTCAGAAGGACAAAATGTCTTACTCTGTTCATTTTTTTATTTTTAACATATTTGCCTACAAGGCTGACTGAACAATCACCCTTTTCATGTGCTAACGTGCTGAGAAGGTTTCTTATACGGGGCAGTAATTATATATATATATGTATATATATATATACATTCTCTAAACCAACTATGGGATCAAGTGTAGAAATAACTTTACATAATTGTCTAATGTAGCTGATCATTAATGTATATTATACATGTCGTTGACACATATTCATGCTTTGCCCAAAGTATGAGAGAGTGACATTATAAGATGAATGTCTGTTGAGTCATGGGGTAAGTTGATAGCCCCATAGTCTATGGGAAAATAGACATTTAGCTACCACGTATTTTCTAGCAGGAGGCCAATTTGGTGTAACTCTTCTTAAAAGCATGCTTATTTCTAACAAATGCAGTTTTATCTGGGAAGGGTGATTTGTTTGGTGAGAACCGAGCACAAACTGTTATGTTCTGTTTACTTGTGATTCTTGTTGTTGGACAGAGGGCTGGGTGGGATGAACGTGTGTGTGGAAGGAGCGGGAAGAGGATGGGGGTGGAGGGAAACACCAGACTGTTTGCCAGTAGCTTGGATGATGGTGTGAAAAAATATTATCTTCTGCTGTCATCTGTTTCCATGAGAACCTTAAAATAAAGTTTAAAATAAGGAGTTTTGCTTCTGTTTAAACAGCCTCTGCGAGGGAAAGGCCCTATAGACCTCATTACAGTTGATTCCTTAATAGAACTTCAGGATTCTCAGAGCCCTTTTCAGTACTGGATAGTTAGTGTGATTGAAAATGTTGGAGGAAGATTACGCCTTCGCTATGTGGGATTGGAGGACACTGAATCCTATGACCAGTGGTTGTTTTACTTGGATTACAGACTTCGACCAGTTGGTTGGTGTCAAGAGAATAAATACAGAATGGACCCACCTTCAGGTAAGTGCCAAAGCTTTTGCTGCTGCAAAGTATTTTGGTAAAAGATGTGATATTTTCCTGGATGTGTCTCTGGAGAGTTTGTTAGCTCCGTGGTATCATTTACACATGTGTATGTGAATATTAAGCATTTTAACCTCAGAATACTCTTCTATGGGAAATAGAACTCAAGACCTCAGTAAATAGTGTTCTAAAAGGAGAAAGCAGTAGAGGCTGTGCTGAAGTTGATCTCATTCCTTTGGAATCACTGATTCACAAATGAAAGACACAATGGACTGGGACTTGGTCATATTCTCCCTTTTTCTTTAGGAATTTTGACAGTCTTGGAAGTAGATTCCAAAATCTCTGTCTGCCCATACATCCTCTATTCATCCACCCGCCCCCACTTATCCATTCATTTATCCATCTGTCTCCATTCATCCATATCCCTCCCTCCATCCGTCCATCCGCCCACCCATCCACTTACCCACCTATACATCTACTCATCCTCCAGCCTCCCACCTATTTGCCCCCCCCCATCTCCTTCATCCATCCATCCATCTATATCCATCCATCCATCCATTCATCCATCTGACTATCCAACCAAATGCTGTTATATAATCTGTCCTGACCTGGAAATAGCAAAGAGGAAATCATCATACTTTTTTCTGGCACGTCATGGATTTTAATTAGCTCCAAATGCCCTGTCAAATGACTTTCTGCAGACTTAATTGGATGGAAGAATGCATTATGCTTCCTGATGTACCTCACTGGGCAAAAATCTCCCTGTTCACAAACTAACCATTCTTGAATGTTTACTATGTGCCAGGTGATTTTATATCCGCTGTGTTGTTTGTTTTGATTACAAAAAGTGCTCCATGTTTGGTGTGAATATTTCCTTTTCCACCAGAGAAAATTTGAGACTGAGGCTAAGCTGCTTGTCCAAGGTCATCTAGCTTGGAGAGAGGGGATATACTATAGTTCAAATTCCTAGGCCCTTTGCTCATTTCTTCCCATCCCCCTGCTGCCCATACTAGACTTACCAACCTTTTGATGGGTATCTTCAGAACGAAAAATGTTGGATCCTTACGGAATTAAAGACATCAAGGTAGAAATATTAATTTCTTCCAGAGATTGCTGGTTTTCATTCTGATCAATTTCACCAGGTATATTGGAAGTGAAGAGCCAAGTCCTTTGTTAAAATTGCCGGAGATTTTTTTTTTCTCCCTTATTAGTTGCCAGTGCTAGTCTCGAGCACACGAAACCGAGGACTTGCATTTTTCCTTTCTGTCACTCAAGGGCTTTAATTGAAAAAAAAATTTTCTTGGTTCTGTATGTCATGGATTTGCATTTGTGTTGAGTTTGACAGGCATATAGACACGTAACATGGTATTTTATTAGTAGTATTGTTGTCAACATTTTGAGAAGCAGCCAGGAAATCCATTTCTACCCTGAGTAATTTTGGACTATGATGACAAACAAAGGGCCTGTCAGTGTTGAGAAAAGATCTAAGCTCACATTTGCCTTGGGATTCATAACCTAGCAGGAGAAATTTACTTTGTGTGGGAAGTTGGGTGTATAAATCTTAGCTTAGTATCTAATTGCTTTATAAATTTTGGGAGATCCCTACGTTTGCCAGTGTGAACATTTATAGCAAAGCAAAGGGTTATTAGTGGCTTCTTAGGTTCTGTTCAGTGTGCCTTTGCTGTGAAGTCATGGGACTCCTACTCAAAAGCAAGAATGGAAAGTGTCACCATAGAAACTTGGGAAATATTTGCAAAGGAGAGTGCTCTTTCTCTTTTGTAGATAATTTAATGTCTTTATAAGATAAGAATAAATTGTGTTTACCTGTCTTAATAATTTTCTGGACACGAGTTGTCCATTGCATGGAAGAATTCGTGGGTGTCCTTCAAGAGCTTGGAGAAGGCATTCATCATTAAGTTATTTTCCCAACATTTAAATTGTTGGCAAGAGAAGTTTTGTATGAGAAGAGGAAAATAAAAGGCAAAAGGACACTCCAAATGTGGCCTTTAGTTCTTCAGATGCAGCAGTTGCAAGATGAAAACTGGATTCTCTTGCCTCATTTAGCAGAACAGCATGCGGGGCTGCGATTATTACCTGTGTGTTTTATTATTTTTTTAAAGTTTTTATTTAAATTCTGGTTAGTTGACATACAGTGTTACGTAAGTGTACTATATAGTGAGATACAGTGAGTCAGCACTTCCGTACCTCACCCAGTGCTCATCACGACAGGTGCACTCTTTCATCCCCATCACCTGTTTCCCCCACCCCCCACCCATCTCCCCTCTGGTCACCAGCAGTGTGTTCTCTAGCGTGAAGACTCTGTTTCTTGGTTTGTCTCTCTCTCTCTCTCTTTTTCCCTTTGCTCATTTGTTTTGTTTTTTAAATTCCACACATGAGTGAAATCATATGATATTTGTCCTTCTCTGACTGACTTGTTACACATAACATTATACTTTCTAGCTCCATTCATGTCATTGCAAATGGCAAGATTTCAACCTTTTTGATGGCTGAGTAATACTCCATTGTATATATATACACACCACCTCTTCTTTATCCATTCATCAGTCAGTGGACACTCAGGCTGCTTCCATAATTGGGCTATTATTTACAATAATATATAATAATAATAATATGTAATAATAATATGTGTTACTTTGGGTTTGTGTAAATTAATTTCAAGACCCAGAGTAACTTAAAACTTACATGGTAGTGCTCTTTGCTTAACTGAAATGTAGGTGGGAATAAAATTTCAGGCTTGCATAAAGATATTAGCTATTGTTCTTAATCCCGAGTGTTGAGTGTTAAGTGGTGTGAGAGGGAGATTTGGAGGTGTGGAGGCCCAGGGCAGAGGATAGATGTTTCGGGTGCACCATGAGAGGAAGCCGTGCAACCCCCCAGCCTCCCTGCCCGCTGGACTGGGTGTCCCCATGAACTGCCATCATCGCGAAAATGGACCACTTGATCTCTCTACTTTTTAAAGGGCACGATCTTTCTCAACTGTTCAGTACCAAGAAAGGTAGGAATAGGAAATAGAAAGTAGCTAGTTTTCAGAACCTCTAGGAAAAGGGGCTGCTTTGATGCTGTCCACCAGAGAAGCTTACAGTCACTGTGCCTTTTCATTTCTGGCCCGAGTCGGAGAACACAGGTTGGGGCTTCGCACCCTGGCCTATTCAGGGGTCATGTAGGTGCCGGCGGAGTAGGTCAAATCCAGCTTCTGTGAAGAATGGGTGAGCGGGCAGGAAGTGGTGAAATGCCAGGTGATCAAGGAAGGGCGGCAGTAGCTAAAGTCCTTAGTGGTCCAGGCTTTATCAAGAACTGTACAATACAGTAATTCAGCACTTCCCTCCATCACCTGGTACTCATCATGACAGGTGCACTCCTTCATCCCCATCACCTGTTTTCCGCCACCCCCCACCCACCTACCCTCCGGTGACCAGCAGTGCGTTCTCTAGAGTGAAGACTCTGGTTTTTGTTTTTTGTGCTTTTGGTTTTTTTATTTGTTTTTCATTTTTGTTTGTTTGGTTTTGCTTGAAGGACCTTTAATGAAGGCCAGAAATACAATGTGGAGCAAGAACCATGCAGAAGGGTTCTGTTCCAGGCATTTTGCCTTGTACAAGTAGAATGAAGTCACCAGGTCAGACTTTTAACTGGCATTATTTCAGACATTGTTCCAACCCCTTCATCTTACAGTAGAGTCTGAAGCCTCGAGGTTAATGACTTGGTGGGTCAAGGTCACACCACGAAGCTGAGCTGCAGCTAGAACACTGGCGTCCAAACTCCCAGCCCAAGTCTCCTTCTCCTCCATTACACTAACATTGGGAGTTGACAAAAGAAAGGGGGAATAGGAAGGGTGATTTTTTCCATAAATTAAATCAGCTTTAAAAGCCAGGCAGATGTGTTGGAGTCCCTTTCAGCTTCAGTGTTGAACGGAAGGCAAACCGCATTCATTTAGGGACTTTCCGGCACATTGGCCTCCCCTGTGACCCACCGGGGTGCTAAGCATGCCCTGTCTTTGGGGTGCTGTTCTTCTAGATGTAGCATGGCCCACCCCCCTCGCTTTGTTCAGACCTGAGAGGATTTTAGTAGCCCCTCGAACTGAACATCTGGGTCTGAGTCTCTGCTGTCTCCCCAGTGTCTCACCCAGTGCCTGGCACGTAGTAGGTGCTCAGTGAATATTCGTTGAATGAATTGACTGAATAAAAAGTTGGGTATGTCTGGAGGGAGGGCAGGAACCAGCCAAGTCCACCTTCCAGGAGCCAGATAATTGATGGGGCTGTGGATGCCCATCTGGAGTGGAGGGCCTGGAATGAAGACACCCCCAGAATGGCAGGGGCTGTGCTGTCCTCTTTGCCCCTGATGTGGGAGGGGAGCTTTTGAAGACAGGGTCAGATCAAGGAGAGATGCTCTGCTATTCAGCACCCAGCATGGCTCCAGGACCTACTCCATGCACAGGAATATGGCCTGTGGGCTTCCTGATCATTTTTGTTCCTCTAGAGGAGTTCATGTGTGCCTCCAGCTTGAGGAAGCTGGCGGAGTAGGAAAAACATGGACTTGGAGCCAGGGTCCAAGTTAGCTTCTCCTTGCACTTTTGTTCCTCCCTACAGAGCCCTGGGAAGTACCTCTACTTTCCTCCTCTGTGAAATGGGGTAACTATACATTTGCTGTGCTGCTGAGTGTCACAGTGTACCGCAAGCGATTGGCGTTTTCTCGGTATTCAGTCTGTAAGCAGAGTTTTATGGTTACGTTTGGTTTTCTAAGAAATTTAAGTAGGTCATTGAGGTCAGGAGTTTTTTAGAGATTCCCCCCTGCTTTCATATTTCTGGATGCTCAGAAAGCAACGGAGTCTTACATGTTTTTGCAGAAACTAAGGACACGAAACTTTGTGAGGTCTTTCTCATCTCTAGGTGTTTTTCCATATATATATATATTTTGCCTTCTCAATCTTTATGTCAGCGTTTCCTTTTCCTTTTTCTTTTTTTTTTTCTTTTTCTTTTAGATAATTCCTGGAGTCGAGAAGCTTGTGAACTATTTCTTAGTCGAGAAACAGCCCCCAAACGCTTTCTGTATCAGGTAGCTCAGGTGGCCATAAAGAAATGCCAGTGAGTGGTGGGTTCAGACGACACAGATGATTTTCTCACTGTTCTGGAGGCTGGAAGATCCCAGATGAGGGTGTCGGCAGGGTTGAGTTCTGGGGAGAGCCCACTTGCTGATTTGTGGATGGTCTCTTCTTTATGTGCACACGGAGAGAGAGACAGAGAGCTCTGGGGTCTCTTTTATAAGGGCACTAATCCCATCACGGGGACCCCCCCTTATGATCTCATCTAACCTTGATTACCAACTCCCCGCCCCCCCTCTGAAGGCCCCATCTCCAGATACTATCCCGTTGGAGGTTAGAGCTTCAACATATTACTTGGGGGGAGACACGAACATTCAGTTCTACAGCCTTCCCAACATCTGTTAACAGCCATAGACCAGTCTTTGCTCACTGGTGAGAGAAGGAAGGAGTGGTGGTTGCAGAGTACTTGAAGAAGGGGATCACTCCTCCAGGCCTTCATTTAGTCTGAGGCTGTGAGCTGGTGGTCTCACGCCCCTCTCCTGCTTTCTGCAGCTCTCACCTTTGCAAGAGCCGGCCAAACGCTCGCTCAGAGGGGGATCGCCTCACTTTCACGTAGGCTTCTAGTTAAAGATCGATCAGGCCCGATTTTAATTGCTTATTACTTCCCCACAAACAAATCGACATGATACACTCTATTAAATTACCTGCAGCACAGTCATTTTAAGAAAATGGTTTATGTTCTTTTAATGGTGCTATTTATTGTCCATAAACTTGTCGGTGTAACCAAGCGCCTCTCTGGCTAATGAAACACACACATGGAATATTGTTCTCTGCTTATTGAAACCATTAGGTGTGTAGCTTTTGCAGGTGGTTGAGCATACTGAAAAAAGTGCATCTGATTTTCACCTTTTAAGAGAAGTGGGCCTTGCCATAGGGTTACATTCCATATTAGGGCTTTATAGCCTCAGAAAGAAGACAAAGGATCTTAGGATTATAGGGCAGAGACCCAAATCCTGAGGAGCCTGGGTTTCTTGGTCTATTCAGGCTGCTACAGAGAATAAATAGCACAGACCTGGTGGCTTCTAAACAGCAGCATTCATTTCTCACACAGTTGTGGAGGCTGGAAACCTGAGATGCAGGCACCCCCAGATTTGATGTCTGCTGAGGGCCCGGCCTGCTTCCGGGGTCACAGACGGTGGCTTTCTTGCAGTGTCTTCACATGGGGGGAGGGGCGAGGGGGCTCTCCTTTGTAAGGACACTAATGCCATTAATGGGGGCTCCCCCCCATGACCTCCCAAAGGCCCCACCTCCTAAACATCACTTTGGGGGTTAGGATTTCAACGTATGACTTTGGGGAGACAGCAACATTCAGCCCGTGGCCCCAGGCTTCTGGTTTGCTGGGAGAGAGATGGCATCAGGAGGACTGGGGGCTCGACTTTCAGGGATGACTTGGGCCCAGTGGTGCCCTGCCAGGTGCGTGTGGACACAGGTGTCAGGAAGGGCGAGCATCCTTGTGGGGGTCTCTAGGTCACCTGGCTTCGGTTCGGGAGTCCAGCTCAAACTCTGGCCAGCTGGGCTTTTGCTCTAGGTCTTGCATAGTTTTCTTGAACTGTCCTTCTCTTGCCCTCCTCTCTGTCTCAGCGGCTCCCCCGCCCCCAGACCACGGGAGTTCTCCTGCCTTTTCCCACCTTTCCTGTCTTGTCTTTGGCAGTCGCCATCCTTTCTCATGACTTGCTTCTCCTTTTACTACTATGCCAAGGCTGAACTCCCTGGCCAGCTTCCAGATCCCTGGGAAAGTGAATTAGTTCTCGCCTACTCGGGAACCCTAGGCTCTTGCGTGTTGTTTCCGTCCTGAGTCCCTCATGACCTGCTGCTCTGGTGCCCTCAGGTCTTTCCCTCCTAGAGCTCTCTGAGTTGCCTCTCCTCCACTGGGATTTTGATGCAGTGCCCCTGAGCTGAACCATCTTCCCATCCTCCTGGGACAATTCAGAAGGCTGTGAACCCGTCCCTCTTCCTCCTTTGTGGGACCCCGTGATGCGCGATGTCTCCCTCAGCACCCCTGCTCACCTGTGGATGTTGGAGGGACCATTCCTCCGTTTTCTGCACAGGTGTTAACTGGGGCTTCACTGTGTTCCCCTAAATATGTCAGAAGCTACTAAGAGGAATCACATTCTATTCTTGTTCTGATATAGAAATGCCAAATTGGAAGAAAAAAAAAATTCCCCCGAGGTAGAAGAATGTAAATAAAAGTTAAAATATCCTCTCTTGTCGTTAATAACCCTTTATGGGACTTTGCGTAACCGACCATGAGTGACGGGGGCTGTGCCTTGATAACCTGACTCCTTCCTGCACCATCTCTCTCCCATCATAATTATGGGAGTCTGAAAAGACTCAATAAACTGCTTGAAACACAGGAGCTTCAGGCTCAAGGTGAGTTCAGAAGCTGTGGGCATCAAAATATACGGCTGCATGCTGAAAAGCAGACATGCAAGAAATTAAAAATATAGCCCCAAAGGTTTAATGTCGCCTTTTAACTGTGCTTAAATTCATATTCATGTCCTGTCTGTCTGTCTGAAATAGCCTGGGTTGATATAGGGAAGGTATAAACATATCTCCTTCAAGTGAGTGCTTCTGCAAATCCTATTTTGATAAGGTCTTAAATCCGTTGAAATCAGATCATAAAATCCCCCTGCAGTCTCAGCAATCGGTGAAAACAGTGCTCAACAATTTTTTTTCTTTCAGTTTTGCATTCAGCCAGAGTAACCTCCGTTCGTAAATCTCTCTGTCCACCCCCCTCCCCCCACCCCACTGCCTGGGGGGGAAATATGGGCAACATGTGGTGTGTTAGCAACATTTCAAGTGTAAATATTAAACTTGGTTGGTAAATTTTAATTTACCTTTTAATAATTTTCTGGCTTACAGAGTCTATTTTTAGCATACGAGAGCTTAGAGATCTAGTGAAAAATATACTGTAATATCTGAAAATGCCAGACAAGAGTCATTTCTAGTTTAGAAATTTATCCGATAACAAGTTCTTCATCAGTGGATATTACTTCCCAGGTGATTCATGGATTTTGGGGCAGCGGATGACTGAGGATGGTGCTAATGTGATTTATGCCAATAAATTACTTATGGAATGCCCATAGAATGCATGCAAATGTTCCCCAAAGGGCCCTGTGAAGTTTAGTCTTCATTTCTGATTGCAGAGTCTCAGGTTGCTCTTTACCGTCAGAAAATCCCGTTAGCAGGTGGCCTTTTATGGGGCAGGGTGTAAGTTCTTACGGTCACTGAGTATGCTGAGTGACTCTGAGAACTTGGCAGATATAAAATTCAAAGGGAGAACCACCCCGCAGAATATTTTAGTCCTTAAACGCTTATGTGGTTTGCTGTTGATACAGAAATCTATCCTTTGAAGATGGCGTCTGAGTGGAAATGTGCTCTGGAAAAATCCCTTACTGATGCCGCACACTTTCCTCTTCCAATGGAAGTATTTAAGGTAAGATGTGGGTTAGTGGCGACTTGTTTACTCTTCTCCACACTAACCGTTCTCCAGTGAAAAGTTTCTCACAGCCAATCATTTTCCACGGTTGGAAGAGCTACCTGCTCAGCGGGGTCCCATTTGAAATGTTTAAAATGTTACCTGTGTGCTTTTGCCCTGTTTTGTCATCTTCACAAATTCCTCATATTACAGAAGCCTGGTTGGAATTCTGTGGCTTTACCGCTTTTCTCCATGTTGTATTATTATAGAATAATAACACCTCATGTGCGCTCCCTCACCCCTTACGAAAGGAACAGGACACGTAGCAAGTCTATTTTTGGTATTTATTTGGTAAAAATAATAGAAAGTGATGCTCCTCTTGATGGTTCGGTTTCCTGGATAGCCCGAGAAATGTGTGTGAGTATCTGAGGGGCAGTAGGCCTGGGGGTTGCTAACAGAAGGGAGGTGGACACACAACTGAAATGGATCACCAGGTTCTTACCACTGTAAAATGATGCCTGGCCCTTCTACATAGATGAATACGAAGCTGTGGGCGATGATCCGTGCGGGCCAGAGGGAGTCCCGAAACGTTCTCTCCCTCCCTGAACCCCAAGTCCTTGGGTGGCTCAAACATGGTCGCTGTTGGCTGGAGGAAAGTGGTTTTCCAGGCCCGAGGGGGCACATTTCTGCCACACACGTCCCCCGAGGAGACCAAAATGCCGATGGTGTGAGGTGCCATGGGCAGCAAGAGTTTAGGGCCTGGGCGCGGGCTTCCTGAATTTCAGTTACCCCGAAGGCCTCACTCAGAATTGGAACCCATCACGGCAAATTGTGAACCTTCTCAATCTGCACTTTCCTTGTTGTAGAATTGGAGTTAAAAAGATGGCTTTTTTGAAGCTAGAGATGAAATTATGTTCTGAGGTTATTGGGTAGATGACTTTTACAGTGTTTTGATCCTCCTGTATTAGAAGAACAGCATAGATGGAATAGGCTACTAGGGGCTAGTGATCGCTGGAAGTAAAACGATGTCTTGGGCATTTTTTTTTTTTTTTTTGCTAACTGATCGAATACTTCTTTCCTCACCTCTCCCATCCTCCCTTCCTCACTTCCTTCTTTCCTTCCTTTCTTGCTTTCCTGATAACATCCTGTCTGGAAAAGATAGAAAATAAGAAAGAAAAACAGCTTTTGCTTTTCCATAACTCACCTGGCTCCATGGCCTCTGCGTGTCCCCCTGGGGACCCCGACAGTTGGTGTCCACTCTCTTCACAGTGGCCTTCGTAATATTTTTAGTGTATACACTGGATCATGTCCCTCACTCTTGACAAAATAGATTTTCTTTTGAAGTATATTCTACACCTGTGAGGAGCTCAAAGAGTAATGGATGAAAGCACGACTATGCACCTCCAGTCTAGACTTGAGAGGTCGCCACCAGAAGCGTGTCCTTCCCCGACGCGCTCTCCTGCCTCTTCGAGGGGACCCGGCACCCTCACTTTTGTGGGGATCATTTCGCTGCTTCTCTTTGTAGTGTTACTGCCAGTGTATGTCTTCCTAAATGTTATGTATTTGCTTTTGACAAGGTAAGAAGCAGATATAAGCCTACTTATTTCAGAAGAGGCCTTTGCCTGGGGCACCTAGCAGGCTTAGTCAGAGGAGGATGTGACTCTTGATCTCCAGGTTGTGGGTTCGAGCCCCACATTGGGTGTAGAGATTACTTAAAAAAAAAAAAAATCTTTTTAAAAAAAAAAAAAGAAGAGGCCTTTTCCTGCTCTTTGGAGGGGAAAACAGCTGGATGATGTTTGGTTAACAAGCTGGCTTTGCTTTTCCTCAGTTGACAAGAGTCAACAAAGTCATGAGCTGGTCTTAAGAGAATTAGGGTTTATCGTAGTTGAGCCATCTGCCAGAGCTGCAGCTGAACTCCAGGTACTGGACATCCTGAGAAATATGGACAGAAACCAGTCGGTTTATATTTTCTGCTTTTATAGCTTACTCTGTTCCAGGAACAGGCCCAAGCACTACTCTTCTGTGAAGTGAATGGAATGTTCTCCTCGGCTCCAGGCAGCTTGTGTAGTGTTTGGTCGGAATGAGCCAAATACTGTCCACAGCCTCGTCGGTCTGCCGTGCTTTGGCGTTCTCCCCTCAGGTCACGAAGATGAGGCAGTGCTGCAAGCCATCTTCAAGATGGTGGCCTTCAGTATCCTTCTCGCTTTGAATGAGAATGTCTTTATTCTTTCTTTGTGCTTCCCTGATTGTTTGGGTAAAGAATTCTAGGCTCGCTGTCACTTTTCTCAAGAATTTAGAGGTATCACTCCATTTTCCCTCCCTTCTCTGGACTCTTGTATTTTCCTCCATTGTCCTGCAATTTCGCAGTTGATTGCCATGGTGGACATCTCTTTTCTTCCACAGTGCTGGCCACCTCCGGTGTCTGCCTTTAATTTGGGGATGTTTCTTGTTTAAAACGATGCCTTCCACTGCTCTTTTGCTTTCTTGATCTGTATGTGGACGTGCTATTCCTGGACTGTCTTTTTACTTTTTTTATTTTCCCCCTTTCAGTTCTACTTTTCATTTCCTTGTCTGTTGGTGGCACTTCGAGAAGTTTTATGAACTTATTTGTACTGTCCTGTTTTTACGAGCGCTTCTTTGGTGGGTTTTTGCTGAATGCTGTTTATAGCCTCCTCTCCTTACCACATGGATGCATGAGTTCATCTTGTTGGAATTACTGGTTTTTGAAAGTCTTCTTTTTTCCCCTGAAAAATTTGTTTCCTCCATGTTGGTTTGGTTCCTGATGTTCTTGTTGGAGGCTGAAAATCCTTGACCGTGGCTCTTGAGTAAGAGGGAGGTTAGAAAGCTGAGGGCAGAGCTGGTCAGTGTAGATGACCTTGGAGAGCTACTTCTTTGTATGGTGCTGATTTTCCAGGGGAAGTTTTTCAGCTTCCAGCCTGGGGCTCAAAGTCCAGCCGCTGGTGGTGTGAGTGAGTGGGGCAGAAGAGGGCCGGGGTTTTGGCACCGAGGGCCCAGGGGCCATCTGTTTCACCCTCTCTGCTGGAGACTGGGAGGACGGTTGATCTTTTGGAGTAGGGAAGGGGACTTCTTCCCTCATCTGCTCCCATTTACTGCCAGTTTTTTTTTTTTTTTTTAAGATTCTATTTATTTGAGAGACAGAGAGAGCATGTGTGAGCACGGGGAGGGGTGGGGGCGGGCTAGAGGGAAGAGGAGAGAATCTCAAGCGGACTCCCCACTGAGCACCAAGCCCAACTTGGGGATCCATCTCATGACCCTGGGATCATGACTTGAGCTGAAACCAAGAGTCAGACGCTCAACCAACTGCACGCCCCCACCCCCCGCCAGATATCCCACATTCACTCCCAGTTTTAGGCCCATGTGGTATTACTGGCTTCTGAGTCTCCTGAGGATTCTGCAGTTTCCTTGGATTGGTTCTCAGCTTAGCTGCTGAAGCCTCGGGATTTCGCTCTGTTGATGGTGTTAAATTAGTCCCTTCTTGTTCGTCTGCATTTTTGCTCCCATACCTTTGTCGCTATTGAGAGGGTTCGTGTCTTAAAAAAAAAAAAAAAACTCTTTACTGGAATTTTGGTTAGAGTTTAGGAAGATGTTAAATTAATGTTTCCGTTTGCCATCTGCATCTGGCACCCCCATGCAAGCGTCGTGTGGCCTGCGATGTAGGTGAAGCACCCCCACATCCTTCCAGGTTGTTCGGAGCCAGCTGGGACTCCATGCATGCTTCCCTGTGCACCTCACGTGTGGTGCCTCCCCTGTGTGCCAGGTGCTGGCCTCTCCGCAGCTCATCACATGCCTTTTGTACCTGTCTTGTTCTTTCTGTTAGATCCTGCTGAAGGATTCAACTGCAAATATGCATTCTCTTACAAAGCCTTCCCGGGGCCCGGGCCTCTGTCCCTACTCCCTTACGTGTCTCTGTCGTGCCTTGTCGCCCAGCTCACACTTAGACTTCGTTGTCTGTGTCGTTCTTGGTGGACTGTCCATGTCATTTTGCCTAACTGAAGCTTCAGGAAGGCACGGACCGTGTCTGTCTTGTTCAGTGTTGAATCCATTCAGCCAGACTCCGTGGCGGCAGTAGGGCTCAGGAAATCCTGTCAAATGTATGAACAAATTCTTGACCAGTGTATTTAACTCATTGATTTAAAATATTTTGAGTTAATGTAGTCGTGGTTTAACTGGATATACAGACTTACTATGAGCAGCTACTCTCTGCAAAATGCTATTGACTTTGATTCCAGGGTCTCATCATTTGTCTGCATTTCTCAAAATTCAGTGACCTTCTTCCCTCACTTTAGGGTTTTCCTGTTAGAATTCAGACTATTCTTTGGGGGGGGGCACTGCTGAGAGTTCTCATTGCCCTCAGTGCTTTGTTCATAATGAATAAGTTGCTCTAAGAGTAGATACTGAATAGTTCCTGTTTTTCACAGGACAGATGGAATGGGCATTTTCATAAATAAAAATGGGTCGAGTTGAAAATTATGTGTTCTTGAAGCTCGTGAGGCACTTTCATGAATGTTTCCTCTTATTTCAATTTGGTGGGAAAGAAGTGGGCAGTTTCACTTTCTCAACCATGCTTTGTAGGGAGTGGATATTTATATGTTGAATTTTGGAATCGTGAGAACAACCACCATCCTGAGGCTGTTGTAATAAATGACCACAAACTGGGTAGCTAAAAACAATGGAAATTTATTAGGTCATAGTTTTGGAGGCCAGAAGTGGAAATCAAGGTGTCGGCAGGGCATGCTCCCTCCCAAGCCTCCGGGGGAGAGGCTGTCCCATGCGTGTGTCCTGGCTTCTGGTGGTTTGCCTGCAGTCCTTAGCATCTCTTGGGTTGTGGCAGCCTACCTCCGGCCTCTGCCTCCATGTGGCTTTCTCCCCTCTCTCTGTCCCAGTTTCCCTCTGCTTATGGGGACACCCATCATTTGCTGTGGGCCTGTGCTCATGCCGTCCCACTTCAGTTTAACTTGACTGCACCTGCAGAGACTTTGTTTCTAAATAAGGTTCCATTCCCAGGTTCTGGGTGGATGCGAATTTTTAGGGGACATTATGCAACCCAGTACAACCACATGTCCTGAATGTATAGTAATTTAAGAAATCATAGAATAGTACTCTGTACTGAGCTATCCTACTTACACGGGAGTAATTAAGCTCAGAGAAATTGCATGGGGACACGGGATGAGGTTCAGACTGTCTTAACAGTCCCTTCATGTTAATAGAAACGAGAGTTTTTGTTTTTTCTTGTCTCAAGTTTTTGTAGGTTTTGGTGAGCAATATTCTGCAGGGTACAAAAATAGAACTTATGTGGGTTTTTTTCCCCCTCTGTTATCACTGTTTGATCATCACTGCTTCTCAGCAGGCAAACTTACTTCTATTATTTTCATTATGGTAAAAGCTATACATGTTTGGATTCAGTCATGAGTCCTCCTCGATGCATGTTGTTATGGAAAATTGCCATAGTGTGCAACTGTTGCAAGACCGAAGTCGAAGCTATGGCATATCAGTGGCTGGAGTTGAGCAGTATTTCAAAGCAGTTCTTTTTTTTATTATTTTTACACTGTGGATAAAATGGGTATTTTGATGGAATGAATCTCATTATGCTGCGGTGTTTGTCACTCTGGGGACGTGTTCACACACGTGGTTTGGTATCTGTGTGTGTATGTCTATTAAACGCAGTCCACTAGTGTTACCATACAGAATTCCTCATCTCGCATGAATATGGACAGTGATGCTGTAAAAACAAGCTCATCATTAGTATCCCTGCTGTGATTTACCCTTGATCTGAGAGAACACTTGGAATGGCTTTTGGGTACCATGTTTTAGTGGGAATTCTGATTTCCCTTATTTGGAAAATGCAGAGGATCTTCAAAAGTGTCCATTCATTTGAAAGACAAGGAACTGATGAAATGGGTACCAAACAAAGGGAAAGGTATAATAAAAAAAATGCATTATATTGAAAAATAATTTTTTTTTCTGCAAACCAGCCTCATTATTAAGGGACCTAATATATTTGCTAAGAAAATCCATATATTACTACTCGTTTACCCATGAAGAAAGGTAAGTTTATAGAGGTGACCACAGTGCACATCAGCACAGCGTCTTGTGGTTTCCTTTTTCCTTGTTAGGTAACCTTTGCAACCCATCATTTGATTGTTGACAAGTCCTACTGTCCAAGTGAGGAGACTAGAAGAAAAGTGGTCAGCGATTTCTGTTCTGTTTCAGTTTTCAGTTGCACTAAATATCTGATGTCTGGATTTGGGGGAATTCAGTTAAATCTTACAAATGGGGCCGAGGGACATGGGAAAATAAGAGTGTAGCTCCAATTAACATAACATTCTGTGTGCCAGACATTCAGAAACCTTCTCTAATCACAGTTCCTTTTCATTCTCTGCAGTTCTCATGAGCTGCAATCTACATTTCTGACTCCACTCATCTGCCAGTGTTAAGTTGTGGACATTTCAGTGATGACTCCTACATACATCAAAGAGATCTACAAGTAAGAAGCTGGAGTCCCCAGTTTGCCAGTTAATTGAAACCAAGCATTTTTCCCTGAGGGGAATACCGATGTGTAGCCCGGGGAAAGCGCACACTCCATCTCACTTCACTCGCGACCACACCTTGTAATTGCAAGGAAAGAATGTTACTTGAAATGTCACTAAAACCCGTTATCCATTTGTATCCCTTAAAGAAGTGAACTCGCTCGAATATTTTTTCTTCCATTCCATTGGAAAAAAAAAAAAGTTTAAAATCTCAAGTGTGTTTGAAATTCCAAGTAAGCTGTTAGAGATTGACGGAAGAGTGGCAGTAAGTATAAGCCACAGAGACTCGAGCCCAGAACCATGGTGTCGTCCCCGAAGCCTGGCTCTTTCCCATCCCCAGCTCAACCCCACGGTTAGTGACCGCCAGGACTCAGAGGACGAAGATGAGGAGACAGTCATGGTTAGTCCATGACAGCAGAAGGCTGTAAAGCAAAATTAGCAGAAAGAAGAGCAGCATGGCGTGCACTCTGGAAACTCCAGTATAAACCTCCAAGGGTCCTCTCTTCCGGAGTGTCCCAGGGACGACTCTTCATTGTGACAACATGTGCTTTACTGTTGTCTGCCAGGGGAGCTCATCAGAGGCCTGGCCCAGGGGTTTTATTGGGTGCTGGCCACGTAGGCACCCTCTGCCTAGCACGGGTCCAAGTCCTAGACTTCCAGAAGGAAGTTTAGATCATATTGTTTGTACAAACAATCTTGGCACAGCGGGCCACTCTTCTAGGTAGGGGGATCTTTTTATCAGTGTAGGGTGCTGTTTAAAAGCCCTCTTCCCAGATGGCAGCCCAGGGCTAACCCCGCAAGCAGGCCCTTTCCAAGGATTGTGGTCTCTGGCCTGCTGTACATATTATTCCTTTTCTGCACATCTCTGTTCCATCTATCGACAAAGCCTGGCGGCTCTACCGTCACAGACTGTCCCAAATCCAGTCACTCTCCTCTTGGTCCATCAGCACAGCCCCAAGGACAAGCTTGCCATCCCTCTGTCCTGGACTGCTGTGTTAGTTTCAGAACTCTATCCCCAGCTGCTGATCATTGCTTCTCTGCGGCCAAAGTGATTCTTTTCAAACAAGATTCAGATCCTGTCACTCTTTTGCTTGTAACTCTCCGGTGGCATCTCCTCCTGCTCAGGGCGTGCTGTCCTGGGTCCGGCATGGTCCTGCTCCCTGCGGGCTCTCTGTCTGAGCCCGTCCGCTGGCTGAGGCCTTCCCGGGTGGCACCCCACCCTCTGGGAGACTGCTGCCCCTCCAACACGGAGCTGCCCCTGCTCAGGCCTTTGCAGTCATGCTCTGTCTGCCTGGAACATGACCCCAGATGCCTGCATGGCATCCTCCCTCACTGTGTTCAGGTCTCTGCTTAAAATAAGAAGCAACGTTCTCCACCATCATCTGTCCTCCCGCTATCATCGTGCTTGTCGTAGCACTGATCCCCATGCATATTCTGTATTCATTGGCTTTTTCTGCCTCAGATCTGTTCCCCCCCTAGCTAGAGCACAAGCTTCCAATAAGCAGATTGTGGCTCCATCCCCAGGGCCCTGAACGGTGCCTGGCACATTGTAAGCACGCAATAAAAATTCTTGAATGGTTTTAGTGAAGAAGTAAGTACAAAAATCAACTCTGAAGAATGGAGACTCTGAGGTGGCAAGTGTTATGTCGGTGGGGCGAATCCCGTGTGAGTGGCTCTGAACAGTGAGCTGTGGCGGATTGGCCGAGGAGCTGGTGTTTTCGTGACTAGCTCAGACTACCCGTGTCCGTCTGTGGCTGAGAGGAAACAGCTGAGAGCACTGAGAAGAATATTAGGGATGCGTTGGAATCGAGGGAACATCTCAGCGTCTGTGAGATCCCATGGCTAGTGAGGTTGCTGTGTCAGTGTGTGCATCTTGCTGACGATGATCAGAGTCACCAGGGTTGTGTGTGGGCTTGTTTTCTTTTCAGAGTGTCCGGCCCTTACTACCTCTCTTGGTGTTTGCAGGCATGCATGGTAAGGTGCTGGGTGTAATGTATCATTTACTCATTAAACAGATCCGTGCAGATAACCAGGAGCTTGAGGAATGGGCTCCTACTGTGCCGTCGGCCTCGGTAGCTACCTCGGAGTGACTGCATTCTGCCTTCTGGGCATCTGGTGTTCCACGGTATGGCCTGTCTTTCCCAGGGTCTCATCCACGTTCCTTAGATACGCACCATAACCACGTAGATGAGCTTTGGGTGTGGCAGCTGATGATTTCAGATCATTTCCATTTTTATAGGAAGCTGAGGGAGAGATGTGTTTTCTATGGGATATGGACGCCCAGACTCTAGCCATGATCCATCCCATTATTGCCAATTCTCGATAGATATCTGTGGCTGATGTGGAGGTTACTGGGAGCCTTCGTCAAGACTCACAGAGGATCAGAAGAGAGTACTTGGTCTAGTACTTGGAAAAAACACCAGGTCTCTTGGTGTTTGTCGTCTTCGACAGAAGTATCTGTTAAAAGGATCCCAGACTATGTATACATAACTGATTTGCCTTAAAGGGCACCCTCGCGGTCTGTTCATAAAGGGCTTTCGTGATGGCCAAGAGACAAGCTAGATGCCGTTTGATCCTGTCTCAAGCTGTGCCAGTCATGATTTCTTCATTGCAGCTCGCTCTCTCCAGAGGTTAGCGTTGAGCCAACCAAGGGAAGGGGCCGCTGGGAGAAGGCTCATTGGTCAAAGAAGATGCCGCACGCAGCCATGACTAGTATTACTATTTTTCAACACAAGCAAACGGACAGAGAAAGGCAGACATTCTAGCACGTACGTCTTCTCTGTGAAGAGTGTTCAGAAAGTGCTCCTACTGCCCCGACGGTCCCCCAGCCCGTGATTTCTTTAGCTCTCTTCAGCTTTGAATTAGGTACCTGTCGGTGTGATTGTAGATTTAACCCGTTGGAGGGAACCTCTTCCGTATTTGAGGATCGAGACCTAGGTGAAAGGCTGGAGAGAGAAGTTGAAGTGTGGCAAAGAGAGAAAAGCTTTTCTTTCTCATTGCATCTGCTACAGCCAGAGGGGTAGGAAAGCATGGGAGCTGTTCAGTGAGGACGGATGGTGAGGTTGTGGTTTCTATGGTGACTGATTTCTTTTTCTCTTGTTCCGCCACTAAATACAGCAAATATCCCCTCATGGCTAAGTTTGGCCTTCAGGTGGGACACTTAGATTCTCCCAGAATCTTTCGGCCCCCTGTGTGGGGCCAACACTTCATTTCTTTGGCATTACATTCCATGTCCTGCATGGCACAGTGTCTGATACCAGACAATTTAGCAAATAAATGGTCTCATCAAGTTAAACCCAAATGTTCTTTTTCAAGAAGGGCTGTCTAAGACAGGGGGTCATTTTGGTATCCGACGGACGGCTCGCCCCCTGGGGTCCTGTCCTGTTCTGGGCTCACCGCATACCTGGGCATGAGGCCATAGGCTCTGCAAGGTGCGTGCGGCGCCCCTCCTTAGCTATTCTCAGTTCGTTAAGGACTTTGGAGAGGTTTTTGAAGCAGAGCCTCTCCGGGGTGCTAGATGGCAGAGAAGTTCAGTCCTTCCTGATGCGTAGAGAGGGAGGGAGTTCACGGCTGTTCCTCGTGTGCTCCGGGTTCATGAACCGCGGCACGTGAATTCCATAACGCAGAGAGGATGATGGGGGCCATCTCGTTTTTATGAGCTTTGGAGACATGCAAGAGAGGGCAGGTTTGGTCAGGCAATAAATGTAAATATAAAAATGGCAAAGCCTGGATCCATGGCGTTGGCTTCTAACGATGGCGCGAGCACAGGGGCCCCAACACGGCTGCCTGCAGTCGGCCTGATAGCGCCTCGCTTTTAATTCTGAACATGAAGAATTTAAGAATAGAGTCAACTTTCTGTTATCTGCTCCGGGAGTTATCATTCCCAAATGGCTTCTGTTTGCCACTGATTATTCTGGTTCCGGCCAGGTACTGTGGTTTCAGGGAAGGCAGGATAATATGAGCTTGGACTCCATGTGATCGGGGTTGGGATGTGAGACGGGGGCACAGCGTGCATCTCTAAGACAGAAACATTTGGAAGGGATTGTCATGTTGTATTCTTATCTGTTCGGATTTTCCTTGCCACTCTCCACTGGTAAGAATAATTAAGAAGCGGTTCTACTTGTTTGTTCTACGGAGGATTTGGTAATGGGCCACAATAAAATTGTATAGAGGCAGTTTTCTTTCCACCAAAAACACACAGAGATCCTTTGTAGGTTAGGTTGGACTTTTTTTTTTTTTAAAGATCATTTATTTATTGAGAGAGAGCGTGCGAGTGGGGGGAGGGCAGAGGAGGGAGAGGGAGAGGGAGGGACTCTTGAGCAGGCTCCATGCTGAGTGCAGAGCCTGACACGGGGCTCGTCTCATGATGCTGAGATCATGACTTGAGCTGAAATCAAGAGTCAGACGCTCAACCGAATGAGCCAACCAGGCGCTCCTGTTAGGTTGGGCTTCCAATCTCCATGTGCCTTTTATAAACAGGCACTTGCAAATTGCAGTATCTCAAGGAGGGAGATTGGCATAAGGAGGAGTCTAAATCCTTTCCTTCAGGGGTTTATGATCTAATAGAAAACGAGGGTCCCAGCACTGAGGCTTCTGTGCCGTGAACCCCCAACTTTCACTAAGCTCCGTCCTGCCTTGAGAAAGGTACTCTGAGGGGGTTTGTGTGTATCGTGGGTATAAATGAAAGCGTGGGAATCTTCACTTGCTTGGACAGCCATCCCTCCTGAGTTACCTTGTCTTGATGGCATGAAGTCAAGGGTAAGATGAAAATCTGCCTCCAGGGACACCTGGGTGGCTCAGTCGTTAAGTGTCTGCCTTCGGCTCGGGTCATGATCCCGGGGTCCTGGGATCGAGCCCCACATCGGGATCCCTGCTCAGTGGGAAGCCTGCTTCTCCCTCTCCCACTCCCCCTGCTTGTGTTCCCTCTCTTGCTGTCTCTCTCTAATAAAATCTTAAAAAAAAAAAAAGAAAAAAAAGAAAATCTGCCTCCAGTATTGTCTCCAGTCCCACGTATAACTAGAAGGATAAACAAATCAGATAAACTTTTACATGAATATGTAATGTTGTGTTTAACATTTAAGA